CAATCTCCGGTGACGGCGCCTGACGGCTGTTTGCCCGTGGGAGCCCTGTTTTTTTTTTTAACCGCGTATCAATAGTAACGTGTCACTCCAGACATTCTTCATATTTGTGCTTTTTTGCCAGATATTTAAGACCTAAAGTTGGTGCTAATATCTCTTAACCCTACCTTAGGGTATTTTTCATAGGTGTTGTCAGGATGGGTTTGCTGAACACAGTCGTATTTCATTGGTATATTCTACTATATTTAGTATTAATGCCTATTGTGTATGCAATATGATTTAAATAATCAAATTATTCTCTCCCTGTGTAGATGCTCACATTTTTAATGTTGGTAAGACTCTCAACCCTATGCCCAAGTGCAGTCCTGCAGAGGTTGGACAGACTAGTTGAACCTTTACGTGCCACATGTACAACAAAAGTAAGTACTTTTTATATATATATATATCTATCTTAGTGGCATCAATTGTAAGCTGTAGTTATATTGATTACTTGTGTTTTTTTTTTTTCTGCCACCATTGAGGAATGATTAAAATAAAAATTGAGTGTTTCTCTTTCAGTTCTCTTGATTTTCAAGTGTGTGTTAACATTTCATCAACACCACATTATTTAAATATTGTGCGCCAGATACATCAGGTATACTCATGAAATGAGGGAATAAGCCATAAAAAGGTGATTGATGTGTATTCTGATTAAAGGGGCATGCTAAGCCCATAACTTCTACAGCCTGACTCCTTCCAGGCACGAGTGCAACTTCAGTCTTTGCAGCTAAAGCAGATGCATGGATTCCTCTTTAGCTATGCCAGTTTTGTGCAACGTTTCAGGTCATTCATGTGTGGAGTGTTGAGGCAGAAAACAGAATAGTTTATGGTGGTTTAGCTCTTTGGATGTATTAATGGGATAAGAGTAGACCACTTGGGCACCCAATCCATACTACACTATTTTTCCATAATTTATTATCCCTTGCCTATATCACAAGGATGCACTGAGCAGCTATACCCCTTTTTCTCCTGTACCATATGCTTAGTGTTAGCTAATGCTGTCAACCAATAATGGCCTGAAACAGATATAAAGTTGCCAAAACAGATATAACTTTAGTTTTATTGACGGTACAAGAAGTAGTGCGGGAGCCATGGAGACCCATGTAACTGTCAAACTATTCACAGATGGATTGCTTTGCATAACAAAATGTTACAGGAAACATAATTTTTATTTGGGTTTAGTGGTAAACGAATTGAACAGTGCATTTTTAGAAGAAGTTACAATAAAAACACTCTTTCTCTGCAGGTAAAGGCAAATTCTGTGAAGCAAGAATTTGAAAAGCAGGATGAGCTGAAGCGATCTGCAATGAGAGCAGTGGCTGCACTTTTAACCATTCCTGAAGCTGAGAAAAGCCCCTTGATGAGTGAATTCCAGTCACAAATCAGTTCAAATCCAGAGCTTGCAGCCATCTTTGAAAGTATTCAGAAAGATACTTCCTCTGCAAACATGGAATCCATGGACACTACATAAACATCTGATCTATAGAGAGACCATAATGTTGAACGATGCACTGAAATGACAGGTTATGAGTAAGGCAAGAGAATGAAAAATCTAAATTTCAAGCTTCACAATGTTCCACTTTCTCTACATTTTAAGGAGAACGTTTGGCTTTAATTCCATTGATATATAATTTTTTTTTATTTTTTTTTTTAGCATTTATTTCAGGAATTTGTATTTCCATAATTCCAGGGGTTACTGTTTCAGCCATTTTTAAAGATGGATGTAGCTTAGAACTTATGGTGTATGGAAATAACATCCATTTTCCCAATATCGTTTAGAATACAAACTGTTACCAATGGACCATATTTTTTTTTTTTATTCCATATTTTTGGTTTTGTTATTGCCTCTTCTTTATCTTCTGTTTGATTCATCTACATAAAAAGGCTTCTGGCTTGCTCATCAAAGTCTTTGTAATATTTTTACATGTACCTCACTGGCGAAAATTCCCATTTAAGCTGTGATGTTTAGGACTCTCTCCCTAATCTGCACATAGTTTGCATGACTGGGTTCACAAATATATAATGTCTCTGTAAAATAGCATGCCTTTTTTATGCTGCATAATTCTGTCTGTGCAGTTTCACCTGGCATATTTCCAGAGAAGTAGGCATGTGCATATACAGAATGATCTCATTTATAAAATAAATACTTTTTGCCCCTTAGTACTGTTTCAGTACCAATCTAGTACAGAAAACCATGCTTCCTGTTTCAAGTAGTTTACATGTCAGGTTTGCTTGTTTGATGCCTGTGTGGAAACCAGTTGTGTAGAACATAACCAGTACATTAAAAACATCTTAAAATAACTGTTAAAAATGACAAACATTAATACAATTTTGTAATTTGATGTTTTCTGGTAAGTTTATTTTTTTGGGGGGAGGGGGGGGGGAGGGTGGAATTGTGAAAAGGGCACTTACTGCTGAAATCTGGTGACTTACATAAAATCATTTGTATTACTAATCAAAGTTAAAGGTACACTAAGCAAAAGGAAAAGTGGAGTGCTACTGTATCAGGAAAGTAAACATAAAAAATATTATGTGGTCTCCTAGAACTGCACCAACAAAAACAATATAACGGGAATATATGATTAAGAAGGGGGTATTTTACTTTAGCAAGAAATTGTAGCTCTGGTCCATGTCACTATGTTAAATGTATAGATATCACTAGAACATCTTGTTCAACTCTGTGTCATTGTGATTGGCTCAGAACATTACTTCTGATGTCAGCTAAGCAGGCAAATCAGAGACAGCAGAAATAGACTAGAATAAAGATACGATTTTGCTGTATTTAGGTGGTTTTAACACTATAGCGTCAGGAATACATGTTTGTGTTCCTGACCCTATAGTGTTCCTTTAAGCTCATTAAAGCTATGGGGGTAGGAGTATCTGGGCGCTCTCCTACTTTTCACTGCCATCTTACCTTTTCCAGCGGTTTAACCCTGAAGGCATTGCCCCAAGAAGCATGTACTATTTCCTTGAATGGGTGGTCAGTGATAAACTGTGAACGTTGGCGAGCACTCTCAACCCATTACTTGCCATACAGCAAAACCTTCAGTATACACCCCTCTCTTTGGCACAGAGAGGAAGGATTCCACAGGGTAGTGTTGCTGACGCCGGGGACCAACTTTGGGGTTTAAGCCACTGGAAATCTGTTTAATCCCTGGACACTGCTACCCCTGTAGTTTGTCAACTGAAGTTATTGTGTTGGGAGTTCCTTAAAAGGACATTTCAAGCTGGTGTTGATTTTTTTTTTTTTTATGTCATACATTACTATGCAACGAGGTAAACATATGATACCCACCTTGATGCATTTGCTGCAAATCCCCTGGCTTTTTGGCATTTTCAAACTTTTTTGCCAGACTAGGAAGTGGTTTAGCCAGTTAGAATGTTCCATCTGTCTTTAAAGGGAGATGAACGTATCCCCAAAACACTCTGCCCAACAGTGTTTTCTTGGACACCTAGTTCAGGATTCTGCAACAGTTAATTTATCAGGTAAGATTAGCAGAACTGCTACATTGGCTGAGAATAATCGTCTTGCTTGATTTAGTTTTGTGAAGCTGTAGTTTATAATTTGACTCTTCATATATGAAGCTGCATCTGTGTCTCGTTCAGCATTCGCTGTGGGAAGTGGTGACTTTTTATATATAGAGTAGACTGACAATTTTCACCCTGTAATGTGATGGGTTTACAGCCACAGCAATATTTGCTATCTGCAGTTATAAGCAAATTTGTGCAACAGGACAGTGGAGCATCATAAGCTAAGCATAAAAAAATAACTTGTGATACTTTATGTCTCTTTAATCCATGTAAGTCCACACTTTGTGGACCTAAAGTATGAATAATGATCGCGTGCTGCTGGTGTGAGCGACATTTTGTAGTTTTGTGTGCTCCTGATATGTGTAGGCTCTATTTCATTGTTGGTGAGAGTTTCTATGCCACATCTAGAGGTACCAATCTTGATCTCCAAGACCCAGGAACAGAATTTCTTGCCCTTGTGAGTGCTCAGTTGTTTGAATCCTCATTCACTTAATGACAAACCATGCCATTCTTTATTTTAATTTTTTTTTTTTTATCTGTGAAATTGAAAGATTTTATTATTTTTTCATAGAAAAACACAGAATTTTGTGAATTAAAAGTTGAAATGCAAAATGTAAGCTAAAAATAACCAAGCTGGGAAAATTCTTATAAACTGGCTAATGGCTAAATTTTGCAACTCTATTTTGAATTCACTACAATTTTGTTTTTTGTTTTTTTAAACTAAATAAACCCCTAAGTGAAAATCTCATGTCTTCTGCAAAAACTTTCACTTGCTTCTAAATTTGGGTCTTGGAGATAGTTCACCCATTCACTAGGACAGATTACAGAGAGCACGTTGGTCCGTCTTCAAAGGAAATCACTTTATGCACTTGGTGATTCCGAAATGTAATCCATTATCCAATTACATTGCCCTCTCTATTCTATGCATGACTGTACAATCTAGTGCTCCGTCAGAACTAGCCTTCTCTACTTTCAATAGGTTTAGGTTCCACCAAAACGGCTCTATGGTTTTGCAGCCTTTTGTGCTAGAATACCACACAAAACATGTTCGAAGCTAGAACAGCTAAGGAAAAAGTGCATTATTTTTACTTTCAGTGGGTAAAGGTAAGCATATAGTCTGAAATAAGTAAAGGCTTCTCTTGCATTTTCATTCATTAGAAATAAGTTTGATGCCAACCATTGATTAAAAAGTTGAATCTGTAAAGTAAACCGAACGAATTGTAATAACTCTCCCATTATTAAAGTATATCTGTAATATTGTGTTCAGTTTTAATTACTACCGTACAAAGTTCCTGTTGCCCATTTTAGGATGGAAGTTTGGTTACGACTAATAAACCAGCATTATTGCTTATTGCATTGAGTAATTTTGTACATTGTGGCTCCATAAAATTAAGAGCCAACAGCTGTCTGTTCCATTGAAGACCATTTTATGACTTTAACAAAACCACCAAAATTTGAAAATAAATGTTCTATGCTGACATAGGGCCTTCATGGGTGAGATAGCTTTAAACTGCAAATATGTCATTGACCTGAGATTTGTTAACACTAAAACATCAGATTTATCAAGGAAGAACAGGTGTTTTGAGTGAAAAGTGCTAAGTGAGACATTCTGCTGGTTTCCATGGTGATTGATATTTAACACCCAGAATAGCACCTGGTTTTGAATTGATAAATCTTACCAAATATAATATATTCTCCAAGCTTTTGCACTCCAACCTCCAGTCAAAAACACCTGGTGCTAAGTAACACTGTAGATAGCTTATTGGAAAATACAGATAGTTTGTAATGAATTGTTGCTTTATTGTCAAACCTCAGTCAACTTCAGTTCCTCCTTGAAACTTTCATTAGGACATGTAAGGAAGCTTTGTTAAATATCCTAAAATAGATTCATTAAAAATACCAATTCCTTTCACCTAGATAACACTGCTTTTTATTGCTGAATGAATTAACTGCTACCATAGATATGTCGTAATTACAGTTTGCACAAGCAATTCTTTTTGGATGGAATTGGGAGCAGCATGCATGGTCCATTTAAGAATTTTTCTTATGGGGGTATATAAAATTACCGTATATACTAGAGTATAAGCCAACCCGAATATAAGCAGAGGCCCCTAATTTTACTACAAAAAAACTTGGAGTCGAGTATAAGCCTAAGGTGGGAAATGCAGCAGCTACTGGTAAATTTCAAAATAAAAATAGATACCAATAAAATTACATTAATTGAGGCATCAGTAGGTTAAATGTTTTTGAATATTTATTTACAGTGTGTGTATATAATGAATGCAGAATGTGTTTGTGTGAATGCAGTGTGTGTATATATAATGCAGAGTGTATGTGTGTAAACTGGGTGGAGGGGAAGGCATTTTTATTGTAATTTTATTTTAATATTTTTTTAAAATGTTTTATATCCCCAACCCCCCTGCTTGTTACCTGGCTAGGGAGGGGGGCTATGGCATTCCCTGGTGGTCCAGGGGCATGAGCTGTTACCTTTCCTTCAGCTCCCCTATGTAAATCGCGTGGAGTGTTGCCATGGCAACGCTCTGACGGTCGTGGGAATGGCACGATTTAGAAGGGAGCTGCTGGAAAGGTAGGTAACAGCTTCTGCGGGTCCCCCCCTTTCCCCAGGACCCGCCGGGCTTGTCATGAGCCCGGTAGTCCTGGTTTGTATTATGGCAATGTAAGTTGCCATAATACAGACCCTCACTCAAGTATTAGCCGATGGCTTTTTCAGCATAAAAAATGTGCTGAAAAACTCGGCTTATACTCTAGTATATACGGTAAAATAAAATGCAAAAGCTGCAGTTCTCTTGTCTGCTGCCTTTGCAAGCCACTTTCTGTGGCTGTCTAGTCAGACTTTCCAATACAGTTCTATGATAAGTCTTTGTAAGGCAGGTGCTCTGAGCAATTGCTGTCTTAAAGTGACACTGTCACACTTCACCCCCTTCGAAAAATGAGTATTTGTTAAAGATAAAATCTTTAATCCCCCAAATCCTCATGTGCAGCCAACACAGAAGAAGAAGAAACCGGAAACAATGTATCAGTCATGAGATAGATGTATACTGATATTACCAAGAAAGGGTGACTGCAAAAACTGATATTTTATTGTTCTTACAGCGTCATGGCAACCAAATAGTTCTATACATATTCTATTAACGAACGTATTAAATATATAAAAGTTGTTTTGCTGTCAATGTGCATAACACAAGATCTATAGGTATTTCAGATACCCCCACACCAAAGAGATGATGTTTGAGATGCTGATCGTTAGGAGGAGTGGTAACCGTGGGAAGAAGCGAGAGAAGTACATTGGATACTCTCACCCCTGGGTCTTATGATAGGTCATGCATGTGTATTTGTATTTTTAAATCTTTTGATTCAAGATGACCCCTTTTGTTAATGCAGACGTTTTGAAATTATACTTACATACAAAGTTATAAATGTGTAGGATTTTCTTTTGATATCCTTCATTGAATGTTTTGCTTATAATTTCTACACAATTAAAAGAACACACCAAGCCTGTAATATGTCTGTTTGATATGTAACCTAGGTGTACCCTGCGTTTGGGAATCTTTTAGGAGAATCTGGTTACTTCTTCAGTGCAGGACCATGCTTGCATGACTGTGTTAGAGTTGTCTCAGCCTATGCTTGTGGTCCTGTATTGGCCATGCTTGGCTGAATATAAGCTTTTTTGGCATTGGCACCTGCCGTACCCAATTAAGATAAACCATACTGAAATGATTTCACGAGGGGTCGCGGGGCCTGAGCATGGAGTTGAGAGGATGCTAACCTCAGGATCTCCTGCATCAAATAAAACGGATTTTCACAACCCAAACGGCAACTAATCGCGACACAAAGGCCACCAAACGAGGTGACACCCAAGCGTCAGGACGAACGCCATCCTGTGAACAAGTGGCCTACTCACATGGTGGGCGCGGGAGGGACGGCTGCTCTCCTGCCGCCAAGACCGGCTACCTCCACGAGCATTTCCCCCCCCCCTCCCCCCCGAACCGGTGGGGGGTTATCCCAGTCTAGCAATCACCGTCAGGACGCTCCAGGTCGCAACCCCGACCGATGGACACCACGAGACCCAACCAAGATGGCTGACGGCATTGCACAGGGTCCAGCCCTGCAGAGCAAACAGCTAGGGACGCCTGCAGCACTCATCCTGGTTACGGGACTCTGTTTACCCTCTGGCTGGCATTGGTTAAGCAGTCTCAACATCAATGACTCCTTGACCATTCACCTTACCCACTGCAAAGTAAGGGATATGGCGTAAAATCTACACACACAACGGACGCTATCCGGCCTCATATTTTCTTTTATCCTTTTTCAAGTGATGCAAAGTTTCATATTATTTAGCAGATATAAGTATATCTCTCTTATGATACCTATTATGTGTTTCCTCATACATACTCTTTGATTCCCTCCTTACTACTATACAGAATTTGCACACACAAGCTAGGGAATAGATTACTCTATATACCATGAGCAGAACTACCACCATCCACACCATATCTATACCTATGTGTCATAACATACTGCCTGAATCACACTTACAGCCGACTGTACAATGGGTTGTGACTAGTGATGTCCCGAACTGTTCGCCGTGGACTCATCATTGAGTAAACTTTGACCCTGTACCTCACAGTCCGCAGACACATTCCAGCCAATCATCAGCAGACCCTCCCTCCCAGACCCTCCCACCTCCTGGACAGCATCACTAAGAATGCAGCTTCACAATGGATGCTGTCCAGGAGGTGGGAGGGTCTGGGAGGGAGGGTCTGCTGCTGATTGGCTGGAATGTGTCTGCTGACTGTGAGGTACAGGGTCAAAGTTTACTCAATGATGAGTCCACGGCGAACCGTTCGCGAACAGTTCGGGACATCACTAGCTGTGACCCATACTTCTATTAGACTACGCACTGCAGTATTATGCCTCCTAGATTTAATCATTTGCCCCACCCCCTTAAGCAGAACTACAGCAATTGTTTTAAGTACAGGGGAGAGTGAACCTAAATTTTCTTGCCATTCAAATCACCTGCCTGCCTCACTTGTTTCATGTAAAGCACTGGCCAAAGGGCATGTTTAATCTAGCAACACTAAGACACCTGTCCAGCCCTAGAAGCATTGCTAATCTTGTAGGTCTAAACCAGGTTTAATGTCCACATGCCCCTGATTTTGAGCAGAAAGTCTACTGTTATTTTACTCGATACGTTAACCGTGTACCAATCTCGTTCACTACAAAAACAAAAAATGTGCGCAGTCAAGCCAATATGCTTATCCTGTTTATTCTTATCTCGCTTTTACTGTTGTGGCATAGCGAGAATGCTTGTTACCCTCATGCATATCAAAATAAAGAATTGAGAATAAAAAAATTATTTCATGAAGATCGCACCGACACCCCTGGCACCATATATACTGCAGCACATTGATAATTAAAGGGACACTCTAGTCACCAGAACAACTACAGCTTATTGAATTTGTTCTGGTGAGTAGAATCATTACCTTCAGGCTTTTTGCTGTAAGCACTGTCTTTTCAGAGAAAATGCAGTGTTTACATTACAGCCTAGTGATAACTTCACTGGCCACTCCTCAGATGGCTGTTAGAGATCCTTCCTGGGTCATGGCTGCCTAAAATGCATCCAAACATTCAGTATCTCCTCCCTCTGCATGCAGACACTGAACTTTCCTCATAGAGATTCATTGATTCAATTCATCTCTATGAGGAGATGCTGATTGGCCAAGGCTGTGTTTGAATCATGCTGGCTCTGCCCCTGATCTGCCTCCTTGTCAGTCTCAGCCAATCCTATGGGGAAGCATTGTGATTGGATCAGGCCACCACTTCTGATGATGTCAGAGGAAGTTTAAAGGCAGAGGCAGCAGCTACAGACTTGAATACAAGTAAAATTTTACTATCTTTAGGGAGGCTTGGGGGGCTAGATGGTGGTTTTAACACTATAGGGTCAGGAATACATGTTTGTGCACTAGATATTTCCATGGCCGTAATGTGTCATCATCTGAAGACCACCTTGAGAAGTAACTGGATTTGTCAGAACATTGATAATATGCAGTATGTGGAGGATCTACAGATCAGAATCATAATAAACCCACAGACAAGCTGCTCGAGCCATCATCCAGGGATTCTAGGATCCTTTGGGGCAGATGCTGGAACACTGCTAGCTCACACAAAAGGCGGTTCATTGACTGAATGAGGCTATTTGGGGGTTGTCTCCCGCCCTACTCTGTCTATTAGGACAGTAAGTCTGAAGTCAGCACATGTTCTAACAGCTTTCCCTGCCCATGCGGTATACGAGTCTGGAATCTCTGAATGATGTTTATAGCAGCCAGTCTGGGGGGCTTATTATTACACTGCTCTAATCATCTATATACACCATGTTATCACTCGGCAAATGTACGACCACTTACAAGGATGGCCCTCGGGTAATGATAGATTACTGGTATATAAATGCATACTGCATGTTAAAGGGACACTCCAGGCACCCAGACCACTTCTGCCCATTGGAGTTGTCTGGGTGCCAACTCCCACTACCCTTAACCCTGCAAGGTAATTATTGCTGTTTTTAATAGCTGCAATAATAACCTTGCAGGGTTAAGTCCTCCTTTAGTGGCTGTCTTCCGGCTTCTTAAAACAGTAAAAGTGACGTCGACTGTGTAGGAGCGTGAGCGGAGCCTGACCCAGCGATGGATTCAGGTAAGTCACTGAAGGGGTTTGGGGCGTGGAAGGGAGAGAAAATTAATGTTTTCCTGGCACTGGAGAGTCCCTTTAATAAAGAGTGACAACTATTCCAAATGAAATGCATTTTATGTCACAAATGTATGATATAGAACGTGCGGAGAGCATGCTATGGTAGTAGTTTTAAAATAAGACCCTACAAAAGAATGTCTATCACCTGAAACAGGGGTCATTTAAAGATTAAAAACTGTCTATGGATGAATGAAAAAATGTATTCCTCCTACGGCTGCCACAAGGCTCTACTTTTAGCATAGGCGTGGTGGGTACTACAGTTAAATGGGCATCCTTAAATAAAAATCCAATTGAACTTTAGAAAATAAATAACGCCAACCTTAAATTGACCTATGCCATGGCTTACTGTAAGTTCAGTGTGATTGGCTGGTGACTGCATTGCTCTTCTTCTTTGAATTAATCCCAATAGTTGAAGTCACACAACCTTGTTTTCTTTAGCTTTCAATAGTCTATCACCAGCACCACAAGAAAAATCTTATCACTGGGGTTGATCAGATGGGTGGCAAGTCAACTTTGGAGTAAATCCCTTTAAGAACAGTTTTAACCACTTTAAATAAAATGTTACCCAGGACTTCTAGACCCCCGTAATGACTTTGAGATGAAGTTATGGGACCCAAAATGGTCTTTTAGCTAGGCAGGTCTTTAATTTGGCCAAGTAAGTTTACGAAAACTTTAAAAGGAACATTCAAGACACTTCATCTTGCTGAAATGCTGTATGTATCTGGAGTCTAACATTTTTTTTTTTGACAGTTTATGAAAGTGCCGCTTTGAGTAGAATTTTACAGATCCCCTCTCCCCCAACTATCGCTCAGACAGCCAGGGAGGCTTTCTTCTACAATAATAGCACCTACTACAGCTCGTTTAGGAGTGCTGACTTATTTATCCACATAAAAGAAAAAACTTTTTATGTTGTAGTTTACTAAAAAAAAAATATATATATATATATCCTATGCTACTATTCAGGTTATTTGCCGTGGCAAACTAATCAGGGGTGAATTTCTACTCACTAAGACTGAATTTACACTCGCCATTGGTTAGTGGAGAATGAAAATTTTCAACCTTGCTCTTAGATTTAGTATAATATACACAATATATTTTCACATATTTTAAGTAAAGTACGCCAGACTAAGTTTCTGGACTAAGTTTCTACCATAGTTTTCAAAGATGTTTCCCGCCCCAGGCAAGCACTAAATCTTACCAACTAACTTACTGATTTGTATTGCAAGGAATATCTGGTGAATAAAGTCTATGATAGAAATGGTAGCTTCAGCGACACCTAGTGGCTTTTTATTTTATCCACAAATGGTCTGGCAACAAGCTCAATAGTTGTTAAAACGCTGCTGTACGTATGTTAAATGCATTGGAGTAGGAATTTTAGCCTTATTACTCCACTGATGCAGATGTAAAATAACAGATGGAATTAGTATCTTGCAATACCTTTTTTTAACTGGATTGACTGAATTTTGGAATGACAAGCTTTCAGGAGATTCTTTCACAAGTTTAAAGTATTTCTGAGCAAAACGACACAGAATTCAAAGTTGAGTTGTGATACACACGTTAAAGCGACATTAGACTAGATATGACAAAGGTCTAATTAGGGTAAAAGGAAGACAAATGAAAGAAAATAGACACCACTCTTCAAGAGGGACATAAATATTCTGTATAAATATTATAGTAAGGAGAAAGAGAAGAAAACATGCAAGCAGGGCAGGAGATGGTTTTAGAAGGGGAAGAGTAAACTCCGTTAACCAGCGACACACAATCACACGAACAGAACTTGTGAGTGTAACTGTATAGCAGTGCCACACTGTATTTTTAACTGTACTACATTATGATATTTGTCTTCTTTGTTCTATATAAGCACTGTGTCCCCTTACGATACTTTGTGGGGAGAAACTTTACTGAGAAGTCTTCTGGGGAAGCTGGTACCGTATCCCACACACTATTGGTGGGTAATGTGTGTAAGTATTTGCATCTGTGTGTCAGGATGTATGTATCAGTGTGCGTCAGGGCTGCCATCAGAAATTGTGGGGCCCCTGACACAACTCAAGGTCTGGGTCCCCCTGGGGACCTGCCCCCAAGTCCACCCACAGGATTGTACTGATTGTGGTGTGTGTGTGTATGGTGGATGCAGATTGTACATTTGTGTAATGTATGAGGTGTATATTAGATGCAGAGTGTGTGTTTGTGTGTATTAGATACAGTGATATAGTGTTTATGTGTATTAGATACGGTGTGTGTATAGTGAATGTGGAGTGTGTGTATTAGATGCGGTATATATAGTGAATACAGAGTGTGTGTTTGTGTAATGCATGTAGTGTTTGTGTATAGTGAATGCAGTGTGTGTTTGTATAGGCAGCCGTTCGCATGAAGAAACCCACAAATTGTCCTCAGCGGTACTTATCCACGATTGTTATGGAACTAAATTCGGCATGAGGACTTCGTGGGTTCCCGGGCACCTTATCGGGACTTAGCCGCGAATGTTATGGAACTGTTTTTGGGCATGAGGTGACCGCGCGGCTCCCAGAAAGCTTGGTCTGGGGTTTTGAACGACTTTGAAAACTAGACTAAGGGGAACAAACACTACACGAGACCCAGGCGGAGCACCCCATATTGCAGCCACAGGAACTCTCGAAAGTTGACTGGCCAAGGCACCAAACGCCCTGGAATTGTGTTGGGCATAGCACCATGTGTGCGGCCATTCAGAACTTTGACACGGTGGCGTTTCCTCTACACAGCATGGATCTAAATGCTTTTTGGAGAACTTGGGCGCTCAGATCAGGGCTATTTAAGTATGTCATTTTTGTGGGGTTATTATATATTTTTTATGATGTTTTTTGGGGAGTTTTATGCTTAGTCATCCTGACTCAGAAATCAGAAAGCATATGCACTGGTTCACCGGTTGCAGATTCAGCAGAAATTATGAGGACCACAGGAAGGCCCCTTTAGTAGCAAATTTTAATTAAAAAAAACGCCATATGAGGGCTAATACAGAAGTGGACATCTCATGAGCATAGAACAGTCACCCGATGTTTAGGCTAGATAAGAGCATCGCTCTCTTGTGAGGACCACTTGGGAAGGCACTTTGAGTAGGCCACCACACGATCCCCGGACTTTAGAAAGAGCCAACACCATTTCTGCACAGATTCAGCAACTTGCAGCAATCAAGTTCACCTCACTCAGGGGTCTGTATAAGAAGATTGCCCTGATAGGCTACAAAGATGAGACAAAATCACTGTGTAAATCAGTGTAAGAGAAACAATGTATACATGCGTCTGTCCAGTGTGGCGGTCAGGCCCTGCACCTGTCTTTCTCCATTTTATTGGACCGTAGTCTTTCAGTTATTAAGAAATCCTTAAAAAAAACAATTTATTTAAAAAAACAAACAAACAATTTTAGAGAAGTATACAGGCTACCTTTTTTTTTATCCGTTTTCAAAGACCTTTATATACAAAAACACTGACCTGTCCTTCTGAATAAAAACTACATTTTCATTAATTTACATATACTGCATAATATCCGCAGATCTGTCAATCAGTCTACTGAGCATAATGTATCTTTTGTGTAATTATTATACCCTCTAACCTGTAGATTAAATGGTTCACCACAATAAGGCCCTTACCTACCATATTCTTTCGCATTTACTATTTATCATTGTGTGTCTCCCCATTGTACAGTGTTAATTCATATGCTGTTGCTAATTAAATAATATTAATATTGATTTCCTGTGCATTTGATTTATTTTATTTGTTTTCCACTAAAAGAAAGACAATGAACTATTGGCTAAAACTTTTTTGTTTAAAGTAAAGTGTGCCTTGCAAATCACGCTGTAAAGCTGTGAAGATTTTAATCACTAGATGGCGATCTTGCACAAAAAAAGAAGGATGCGTGTAATCTAATCTACGTGAAAGTGCATTTTAAACTGAAAATTCCTTCATTATTGTGAAGTTTCACTTTAGTTATTTTCAAATATATTGCTTCCATTCAATGTACTAGAAAGGATGTCAAACAGCAGTTGGCAGGATGAAGATGGATATCACTTAAATAGGGAAAAAAGAAAACTGCCATGGAATAAAAGAATATGAAAATTCAAGTCGCCTAAAAAGGGGATATGATAGAATTATATAAATGTATTGAGGGCCAATACAATCCATTGTCTAGACAGCTATTCATAAACAGGACTATATATAGGATATGAGGTCACGCATTTAGACTGGAAGAAAGGAGATTTAGTCTAAGGCAAAGGAAGGGGTTTTATACAGTAAGATAAGCAATAAGGATGTGGGATTCTTTCCCTTGATGATTTGGTTTATCAGAGTCTGTGCAGATGTATAAACAGCAATTGCATAAATACTTACAAAAACAATATTCAGGGATATATTTTTTTAATATGTAGGTTAACATCTTTTTTCCAATGAGAGGCCCGACTGCCATTCAAGAAGGAATGTTTTATTCTAGTTTGCTGCCAAACTGGAAAGCCCTTCAAACTGTTTTTTTTTGTTTGTTTGCTTGTTGATCAACAACTAAAACAAATTTGAGAAAGCCTGCACTCAGTGGTGGAACCCCATCAGGTGGCAACATGTACTTTGGGCCACCTGGTCGGACGCTGTAGACCTTTAACAGCGCAACCAGGCCCACTTCTTTTTGTCAGCCAAGGAGGAAGTGAGAGCCTGTTGCAACTACCAAAGCCAGCTGACTGGACCCCAGAGAACCCATCCTCCAGCACTATAAATGTAGGATACTGCAGGGTGACTATAAAAGTGCTTTGACCTGCATTTATTTTTTATGTCTGTCAATGTGTGTGTATCTGTATGTCTGTCAGTTTGTGTGTAACTCTATGTCTGTTAGTCTTGTCTATGTGTATGTCAGTGTGTGTGTGTGTGTGTATCTATCTATGTATGTATCTGTATATGTTTCTGTGTGTATGTCTGTGTGTGTGTATGTCAGTGTGTGTGCATCTGTGTGTGTGTCTGTATGTAAATGTTTGTTTGTAAGTGTGTGTGTGTGTCTTTGTGTCTGTGCATCTTTGTGTGTATCTATGTGTTTATATGTTGTCAGTATGTAAATGTGTATCTGGATGTTGGTATGTGTGTGTCAGTGTGTATCTGTGTTGTCAGTATGTGTATTTGTGTATCTCCACGTGTGTCAGTGTGTATATCTGTGTGTCTGTATCTGCATGTGTGGCAGTGTGTGTATGTTTATCACAGTGTGTGTGTGGCAGTGTATGTGTATATGTGCATACATCACAGCATTTAAACGCCAACACTACACAGAATTCTAAAATTATATATAAAACACCGCATTTAAAAAGCAAGACTACACATAAATGCATGCTTGCATTCTAACACCAACACTACATACAAACACACCCCTACAATCTCACACACACACACACACACTCCATATCAAAAACATGCTTACATTCAAACACACAAACACTGTTCACTGCTAAATACAACCCTACACGCATGGGAAAATGGTACATCCACAGCTGTCAAAGCATTGTAGGAGATGTACGACAGCTAGGGGTCTACCTTTTGGCCCTCTTGCGAAAAGGGAGGTCCAAAAAAATTCTTGCACCAATGCCCTCTGTATGTTGGTTCTGCCACAGGCTGAACTTGATGATGCATGTCTCTTTTTATCTATGTAACTATTTAAGGTGGCGTATTCTCCAGAGATCTGTCACCTAACACTGAATTTACATAATCCAAATGAGCAGAAAAGCCTTGTATAAATCATTTTTTGTTGACCATTATAAGTACAGTTTTGAACTCGTATTTTCCACTAACCCTAATCTGTCTTTTGGAAATTCCAATAAAGTTGGATAAACTGAATGGTCACTGGCCACCTATAAGCAAATCAGAGCTAATCATATGTTAGAAGAACGGCCTACCGGTTAGCAATGCATAAGCATTTTTTCTTCTTAATCAAGTTTTTTTTAAATGATTTTTTATGGATATTCAATGAAGAATGTACATTGCATTGGTGCTGATCAAGGGATGCAGTCTTTCTTCTCTGGGACCTGTGTTTGCTTTACCTTTTCACGTTATTCATATTAGTGCCAGCTGTTAATGCTCCTAAAAACATGACGCTTTATTTTGCCTTTTTTGACTTTTATATATGTAGTGCTGCCAGTGGCGGATCCAGAGCCTGATCTCAGGAGGGGCACTTGTAGATTATTTAAATAAATAATCCAGACACAATAACAACTACAGCTCAGTGTAGTGGTTATGGTGTCAATAGTGCCGGGACCCCCTCCCAGAGTAAGTAGTCAAACCGTTTAAGAACAGTTTGACAACTTACCTGAGGTCTGCTGGGAAATGGGGCTGTCATAGGGCATAGGAGCAGTGGTGTGTGTGAGTGGTGCAATGTGTGAGGGGTGCACTGTGTGTGTGTGAGGGGGACAGTGTGTGAGCAGTGTGTGCGTGTGAAGGTTGCAGTGTGTGAGTGAGGGCGGCAGTGTATGTGTGTGTGACAGTTGCAGTGTATGTGTGTATGGGGGGGCAGTGTATGTGTAGGGCAATGTGTGTATGGGGGGGCAGTGTATGTGTAGGGCAATGTGTGTATGGGGGCAGTGTGTGTGTGTAGGGCAGTGTATGTGTGAATGGGGGCAGTGTATGTGTATGGAGGGGCAGTGTGTGTGAGTGTGTGTGATAAGGCTTTTTTTATAATATGCTTTCTTTAAAATGTATTTAATTAAAATAAATATGCATTATGTCCCCCCGCCCTTCTTACCTTTACTGGGAGGAGGGGGGACATTTCTCCATCCGTGGTGGTCCCAGTGGTGAGGTGAACTCTAGCCCGTGCTCCAAGACTAGAGTTCACTCTCGCAAGATTTGGAGTGTTGCCGTGGTAACCGCGGCAACGCTCTGTGCTCAAAAGAGTAGGACCCGGAGGAGCTGCAATCTGAGCTCCTGGGTCCTATCTCACTCCCTCCCCCACCAGCTGCCACCACAGTGCCTGTGGACCGCGGAGGCAGGGCCAGATTAAGAGCCCAGTGGGCCTGGTGCTGACAATTATGACGGGCCTAATTACAGAATCATATCGACCAAAAACAGTAAAACACCCCCAAGCGTCATGTATCTGATGGAGATGGTGCTGGAGAGAAAGAAAACAACAGCTATAAGAAAACACAAACTCTAGGCTAATCATGCAATCATGCAGCTGGCCAACTAAGGGCATACTATGCAGACAGCACCCTGAGCTTGGCATAAATGCATCTAATGATGCGCTCGCTCAACGCTTTCTAAGGACTGTCCCCTCGCACTCGCTGGTCCACTTGTCTCCTTACCTTCTTACTAGCAGGCAGAAGCTCCTGGTATATGGTCTGGGACAGAGAAAAGCTGTATGTAGTGAGTGTAGAAGAAAGGGAACATGCCACAGTGTTAGAGAGATCAAAGTCAGCATTACCTTAAAGGATCACTATAGGGTCAGGAACACAAACATGAATTCATGACCCTACAGTATTAACACCACCATCTAGCCCCCCTGGGCCCCTCATGCCTCCATAAATATAGCACAATCTTACTGTATTCAAGCCTGAAGCTGTAACTCTGCATGCTGTTAGACTCAGAAAAACAAGCAGTCTGCTGACATCATTAGAAGTGGTGGCCTAATCCAATCACAGTGCTTCCCCATAGGATTGGCTGAGACTGACAAAGAGGCAGATCAGGGGCAGTGCCAGCATGATTCAAACACAGCCCTGGCCAATCAGCATCTCCTCATAGACATGAATTGAATCAATGAATCTCTATGAGGAAAGTTCAGTGTTTGCATGCAGAGGGAGGAGACACTGAATGTTTGGATGCATTTTAGGCAGCCATGACCCAGGAAGGATCTCTAACAGCCATCTAAGGAGTGGCCAGTGAAGTTATCACTAGGCTGTAATGTAAAGACTGCATTTTCTCTGAAAAGACAGTGTTTACAGCAAAAAGCCTGAAGGTAATGATTCTACTCACCAGAACAAATTCAATAAGCTGTAGTTGTTCTGGTGACTCTAGTGTCCCTTTAACTATATTCATTGTCAGCCAGTCCACACAAGTTTTGTTCCCATACATCCCTCTTAAGTTTCCATACTTAAGTAAGAGCATGTGAAAAGTTGGGTTGCACCACCTTGGCAAAACATAATCATATGTAATTACATAATAGCAATGATGTAAGCATTTTTCTTCTTATAAGTTTTTTTTAAAAATTTTTTAAAATGCTTCAAAAAGATGTACTACATTGGGATTCTCAAGTATGCAGGATTCTCTCTGGGCCCATGTTTCTTACCCCTCACGTTATTTCCTTGTGCAGCTGTTAATGCCCTAAAAACCCACGTTATAGTGTCTTTTTGCCTTTGTCTAGTAGTCTGCTAGTGGCGTGTCCCCAGCCTCCCTCAGGAGGGGCACCCCAGTTCTCAAATCCCCATCCACTACAATACCACTATCCTGGGGACAGGGTTACTAGTCAGACTGTGGGAGACCCCCTCACGGAGTAAGTAGTCAAACCGTTTAAGAACAGTTTGACAACTTACCTGAGGTCTGCTGGGAAATGGGGCTGTCATAGGGCATAGGAGCAGTGGTGTGTGTGAGTGGTGCAATGTGTGAGGGGTGCACTGTGTGTGTGTGAGGGGGACAGTGTGTGAGCAGTGTGTGCGTGTGAAGGTTGCAGTGTGTGAGTGAGGGCGGCAGTGTATGTGTGTGTGACAGTTGCAGTGTATGTGTGTATGGGGGGGCAGTGTATGTGTAGGGCAATGTGTGTATGGGGGCAGTGTGTGTGTGTGTAGGGCAGTGTATGTGTGAATGCGGGCAGTGTGTGTGAGAAGGCTTTTTTTTATAATATGCTTTCTTTAAAATGTATTTAATTAAAATAAATACGCATTATGTCCCCCCGCCCTTCTTACCTTTACTGGGAGGAGGGGGGACATTTCTCCATCTGTGGTGGTCCCAGTGGTGAGGTGAACTCTAGCCCGCGCTCCAAGACTAGAGTTCACTCTCGCAAGATTTGGAGTGTTGCCGTGGTAACCGCGGCAACGCTCTGTGCTCAAAAGAGTAGGACCCGGAGGAGCTGCAATCTGAGCTCCTGGGTCCTATCTCACTCCCTCCCCCACCAGCTGCCAGCACAGTGTCTGTGGACCGCGGAGGGAGATCTCTGATCTCCCCTCCGGTCCGTGAAGGCACATTGCAGGGCTAGCGCTGGCATGTGCTGACAGGGGAGAGGGAGGCAATTGCCCCGTTGCCCCCCCCCGGATCCACCACTGCTCCACGCTTGCATGGCAAGCAACTTTTAAATTGTGAAAAAAAAGAGAATACTTATACAAAGTATAAGCGATATAGCTCCACATATAAGAGAATGAATACCGTCTGCAAATACAATATCTATGGGAGAAAAAGGCCATACATAGCATGATACAGTTAGGACAAAATGAATAGCACAGGGGAGGGGGAAAGTGAGAAAACTCACAAGACGTCTCATAATTCAGGCTTGTCTACCCACATGAGGGGTTGTAAGTAGAATGGTACTTCCACTGGCCATGCTTAATCTACTTCCAAGAACACTTGGTTTTGCACCCCTCCCTGTCACAGGTGCCTCATTCACGGACCCTAATTAGCTTTGACCTGCAGAGAGTTCCATGAGAAAGCATTTCCCAAATTTGGAATCCAAACCAGAATCCTATTGGGCTGAGCACCACACCAATCAACTATAGGGGCCCTTTGGAGGTGACCACAACAAAGTATACATTGAGGAGAGTTTTTGGAAGTAGATTACGCATGGCCAGTGGTAGTACCATTCTACATACAACCCCTCATGTGGGTAGACAAGCCTGAATTATCAGACGCCTCCCATAGATATTGTATTTGCAGACTGTATTCATTCTCTTATATGTGGAGCTATATCGCTTATACTTTGTATAATAATAATTTTTTTTTACTTGTGTTTTGTGGTGTGTGAGGTTCACCATTATTAGCTCCTCTGCTCACTCCTATACCTCTATTAGTGATTCAGTCTTTTCTGTTTTTACACTATTTTAAATTGTGGCTTGCACCGTCGCACACAATTTTCATAAACAGTCTTCAATGGGAAAGTTCTATATGCCATTATGTAAAATCTCCTGTTGCCATCTTTAACAGTGTGGTAGTCACAATTACAACAACGGTTGCAACAAAATAGTCAATTGAGTTTTCCACTAAACCAGGAATTGGTAGAGAAGAATTGAATGGGTATGTGCAAAATATTATGAATATTTGAAAATATTCTAGGACCCAGCTTTTTTTCCAGACTAACTATTTTGAAAAAGTTGCCATTCTCCTAACAATTCTCAACAATTACGGATTTATTAAATAAAATGATAGAGTGATTGAATTTTAAACACATGGTGTGAGATGATCAACTCGTTAACACAATGATCTGTGTTCTGTTTTCAGTGCCAATCAGCCAGAGCTATATGAGAACAGACCTGGAGTTTGACATTCGGTGAGAAAATGTTTCTGTCTGTTAACCTTTAGGTCACAGTGAGCAGTTGCTGTTGTCGCAATTGTACCACGCATGTTAAGTGGCATTTGATACATGTGACGGCCACTTTCTGCATGCTACATAGTATATGCTACAAATGTTATCAGCACAAGTGTCCTGTTATCTCGTTAGAACCATATTGCAGAGATAGTTGATATGCTGGCTTGTCATATAACACTTTGCAAAACAACAATCTATCTCTGGGAAAGTACGCAACATATGGTGAAAGAGAACACTGCTTCTGTTATGGTCTATTCGTTTGTTGATAAGAAAGAGACACGAATACACAAGAAGCATATAAGTATAAAACGGTTGTATGTACTCTCTAGGATCTCACAATGGACATTTTTGATTACTTGTAGACATTATCTTCTAAGATTTCCCCAACGCTACAGCTCGACTTGTCTTCTCTTAATTCCTAGTGAGCCACAAATAAAAACTTGGTAGTTTAATAAAAGGAAACATTAATCTATTCAACGCATTCGTTCATACATAGTCAGTGTGAAAATATCAATGAATAAAATATGCTGTAAAAAAATATTGCAGCTCCATTTAGTGGGCAAAGAATTCTAAGTCTACCTTTGAAGAGCTAGAATTAAAAAGAAACAAAACAAGACAAAAACAAAAAAACAACAACAAACTGCTAGCCTATTATTATTATTTTTTTAAAGCAGACCACATAATTTTTGCTTTATGAATTCTCCACTGCAGAATGTTTTAGTAAATTGCATTATATTACTTTGATGCTTTGAAATGCATCACTGTGTCCTGCTTCAGATATCAATTTACCATAACAGTTAGGATAGTGTAAAACTTTATTTGTTTGTTGAAGGGATAGTAAAATTGAAAAATAATTTAAGTATTTTTGTTTGTTTTTTTAATGTTGGAGTTTTTGTATAAGGGGTGTATACACACAGCATATTCTCAACACAGCATTAATGAGTATTTTCTGTTATTCCATGGTAATCGCACTTGTGATGAAAGTACCTTCGTTACTGGGATTTGGAGAGGCCTGCTTGCAAGCCTCTTGCCCTATGACTATGGCCCCTTTAAAGTATTGGGTCTTAAGGCACTTGGGACAGGACCCTCTCTCCTAGATTGCATTGGTTGCCTTAATTGCTTGGATTTTACATTACCCCTGGTGTATTCATATATTGGTTTGTGCAGTTCTAACTTCTATTATAGCCAGGATGATGTTGTGCAAACAGACGAACAAACTGCCGAACGACCGACCACCCTGCATGGGGAGTGTGCAGCTTATTAACCACCCAGAAGCTGTGGTCAACCGCAGCTTAATTGGTGAACGGCTGGGTGGTCGGCGTTTGTATGAACGAACAAGTGACGGCGGCCGTTTTGTTTAGCCGAACGCGCTCAGCAGTGTTTTGCCGTCGAATGCCTGGAACTATTTTCAGCTACTATTTCCACAAATACTCCTGAGACTTCTACCTTCCGTACGTTCAGCTAAATCCATACGAACAGAGCGCTATTTTAGGAGAATAAACTAACAAACAAGACGACTGCAATGAAGTTATGCATAAACGTAGCCGTTCGTGAAATTTGTACTTTATTTGAAGGAGAAGATAGACCGGCCACACAGCCTAAATCTGTGGAACCCGTTTGGGCATGAAAGCTATGCTTGCGGTCTGTAAAAAGGGACTTCCATTGAATTGGTGAACCCCTGCTCTGATCTAGGTAATTTCTGGATATGTTGTTCACCCAGATCAGAGCTATCCAGGGATGTAGGATTTATGGGGATATATTGTTGTTTTGGGGTGTTTCTATGTTTTGGGTAAAACTGAATATTTTCTGCCTGTGATAATTAAGTTAGCCCATTGTGTTTGGTAATTGTATCACAGGCAGAGGGGAGGTTTGTGTACATTAGCTGGGAGTGTCTGACTGTACTGTACTGTGTTGATTGGCTGTGGTGACTTTGTGTCCTGTGTTCCACAAGGCCACGTGGGTGGTAACCTTGTGGGGAAAAATGTATTTAAGAAATGCCCTTGCACTCAATAAATCAGACTTGTTCAGACCTTCATGAAGTTTCGGTTCATGTTTGGGGGATTGAAGAACTACACTCTGGCGGATTGCTATAATCACTATACTCCTCTGAGTATAATAACTAAGTTCTTATAAGAGCTTGTTCCTGTTCCTGCTCTCTGGATTAAGAGAGGTTTACCTACTTGAAGCTGGATCCTGATTTTGGGTCCAGAGTGGGTGGAAGACAGCGAGAACCCAACCAAGCTGCGGCGGTTTGTGGGGTCTGCGGTGGCTATGGTGTTTGGTGGAGTGCTTGGAGCCCTCGGGAAGCACTAGGAGCATCTGTCAGCAGAAGGTACCCAATCGGGGTGCCAGGCATTCCGTTACAGCACTGATGTAATAGTTGTGGCGTATTTAGAGCTTAATAAAACTTTTAGGACTCAGAATTGGGTTTGGTTATATTATACCACATTTCTGCAGTGGTTCTCCTCATTTTTGCTGTGTGAGTTGTACCAACTGTGTGTATTCTGTACCCATATGATTAAACATATGTTTCCACGTTTTGTCATTTTAAGGCTCCTTGTTTTATAAGTTTTGAATTGGAGCATTTAGCCCCACTACCTACACATAGCACTAAACAAAATGGAGTGTTCAGCGTAGATATAGTGAGCGCAGTGCAGACTGGAAACTCAGAAATACAATAACCTAATCACTGATACTTTTTCAAAATGTGGCATTTATTGTCATCATAAAAATAGATACTAATTAAGTCAAAAAGGGGGAAACAAAAACTATAATAACTAAGTCACTGATACAAAAATAAATAAATAAAACAAACAAATAAATAAAAATCACTGATACCCTTTAAAACTTAAAGGGATACTATAATCACCAAAACAACGTTAGCTGACGGGAGCAGTTTTGATGTATAGATCATGCTACTGCAGTCTCACTGCTCAATTCTTTGCTATTTAGAAGTTAAATCACTTTTTTTCTGTTTATGCAGCCCTAGCCACACCTCCCCTGGCTATGATTGACAGAAAAACAGGTTTCACTTTCAAACAGATGTAACTTACTTTAAAGGTTATATCTCCAGCTCTGTAAATTAAACTTGAATTACATACAGGAGGTCCCTACATGCTAGCAAGCTATTAACAGAACAGGAGATAAGAAATTCTAAATTAAACAGAATGTGCAATAAAGGAGTGTAAACATTCGATGACTCTTTACAGGAAGTGTTTATGGAAGGCTGTGTAAGTCACATGCAGGAAGGTGTGACTAGGGTTCATAAATAAAGTGATTTAACTCCAAAATGGCAGAGAATTGAGCAGTGATACTGCAGGGGCATGATCTGTACACCAAAACTGCTTCATTAAGCTAAAGTTGTTTTAGTGGCTATAATGTCCTTTAACATTTATTGTCATCGTTTGAATAAGATGGACAAAACATATATACCAGTAGAAAGTATATTGTCCAGCAATTTCTGAATTGTTATCTAAATATTAACTAAACACAAAAGAAAAACTATAAAGTGCTGAAAAATAATAAATGTATTCAGTACAAATAGCCTAGAATACAATGGAGTTCCTAGAGATCACATAATATGTGCATAGGGGAAAATAAAACGCAGTTCAATGGAAATAAATAAATTAAGTTTCCATAGTTAGATACAGTGGTGTCCGTGCTGGTAAACATAGGTTATATGAATGCAGTGGCGTACTAAGGACTGCAGGGGGCGGCCCCCGGCACTCACTAGGGGGATGCTATGACTGCTAGTCTCATGAGTCACCCCCCCCCCTCAATTTGTATAGTGTGTGCCGTGGCACCTTTGTGGCTGCACTATACTGCACAAACTGCAGTAATATGGAGGAGCAGGGAAAGGAGTTTTCCGACGTCGAGCAACATGACGCTGCCGTCACGCCGATGTGCGCCGCTGCCGCCTGTCCACCTTTACAGAGCGGAAGGATCTATCATCCTGTGAAGCATCAGTGGTTGGAGGCTCTGAGCAGAGCAGGTCAGTGCAGAGGCATCATCAAATGTGAGTAGTTTAAAAAAAAAAAAAAAATTATTAAGGGGGTTGTGCAGGGTTCTTTTTTTTATTAAAAGGGTGTATATGATTTTTTTTAATTAAGGGGGGATGCAGGTTCTTTTTTTTAATTAAGGGGGGTGTGCAGGGTTTCTATTTTATTAAGGGGTGTGTGCAAGGTTTTCTATAATGAAGGGGGTGTGTTTTTTTTTTTTATTAAGGGAGGGTGTGCAGGGATTTTTTTTATTAAGGGGGTGTATTAATTTGATGTGTAAGGGGGGTGCAGAATATTTATGTGTAGGGGCTGTATGAACTTTATGTGTAGGGGGTTGTGATCCTTGTCTGCAGGTAGCACGGTCCTCTAGGGTAAACAACAGGCACAGTCCTTTTATTTGCATATAATCCAGGCACTTTATTTGTAAGTCCACACAGGAGACAGCAGTAAATGAAAACATAAATATAACACAAATCCCTATAAACAAAAAACCTAGCTCGTCTGAGCACTTACTAACTTCAGGTTCCCTATCTCTCAGGGGTTAAACTAAAACTAAACAATATTGGTTTCACCAACCTAGTGTCTTTGTCAGCTCTCTGCACTCCAGTGCTAAGTCAGCCTGTTGCTTTCCTTTCTACAATCCCAGTGCTCCAAGCCAGCCTTAACTGCTTTCCTTTCTACACTCCCAGTGCTCCAAGCCAGGCTTGACTGCTTCCTTCTGCACTCCCAGTGTTCAGTTACCTTGACTCTCTCACTGGAGAGAACAGCCTCTCTCCTACCTGCTTCCAGGAAGGAAGCCAGCAATCTCCCTTTACCTGCCTAGCAGAGAGGGGTTTATTCCCACTGCTACAGCTGATTATCTGCAGCTGAGCAGTGGGTTGGAGACAGTTCCAAAAAACTCTGGCCTGGACCTTTTTCTCCCAGTTGTGTATAAACTAAGGAGTGGAGCATTGGCCCACCCTGCTCTCTAAATACTCCACCCCAGGGGCCCATAACTAAATGTAGCTTTGTGTTGCACACCACACAAACAACACGTACTTCCCCTGGGGTTAAATGTTAAAGGCCTCTCTGCCTTCACTTTATCACAGGGTGTATGAACTTTATGTGATGGAGTGCAGGGTTTTTATATGAAGGGGGGTATAAATTTGATGTGTAGGGTGGGTGCAGGGTTTGTATGTGTGGAGGTGCACAATTTTTATGTGCAATAAATATTCTTGAAAACATTGAAAAAAATGGTGTATGTTTTTTTACATTTTTAAGGTGGGGTCTATTGGGGGGCGGCAAACACAGGGTCTGCCATGGGTGCCAAATGCTCTAGGTACGCCCCTGTAAGAATGTCTGTTCAGTGAAAAGAATAAAATGGAAAACTAAGTGCTGCCGTGTGTTTGTTGAGGTGAATGAAAGACATTGTAACAAACAGAGTTGATACTAGTAGAGCTCCTGGATACAAAAGATCACAATTGTTGCAATCTGCCTAGCCAGTGCTAAAGCTAAACGACGAGACAGCTAAACAGTACTTAGCGCTGTGTGTGACTACATATCTTGCATATCCTCCTGACTGAGACCCAGCCCATTAACTTGTGTCCTCTGTACTGGACATTCCGTCCACATGCATCTCCTTGAATTCTTTTCAGCTACTCTATCAATACCTGCCGTATTGTAAAGAGGACGTCCTGGGATTTCCAGTGATATGTCATGCGATAGGCTGGGATGCTAGGGACTTTCCATTCCTTTACATCAAAAATGGAAAGAAATTGGAAGACAATATTTTCCTTGGTTCCAAGGAAGTATTAGCTCGAGATTGAGGCACAAGTGGTCCCTTTCAAGTAAAATTAAATTAAAGTTGTGATAACATAAAATCTGATAAACCAAAGGGACCAAAGCTCCTTCTCCAGAACTTTGATAGTCTCAAAGAAAATGGATTACGATGCAATTGTATATTTTTCTTCTTGTCCCATAGAACTGTAGTATAGGAATAGTTGTATGCCTACATATAGTTGCTGATTATAAAAAAAAATAAACGCAAACAATATTTGCTGACACAGTAAATGGCACTAAGTATAATGTGCTCTGCTCATGCTGTACTTACTGTATAATTAGTGACATTGTGCGGGGCGTAACCTAATGGTCTCTGTAGAATAATCCAGGGTATATTATTATAGTTGGGATATGTTTACTCTCTTATATTTGTTATTTTTCCATGCATTTTCTACACATCCTCATTTATTAGAATTCACATTAAATGGTGAATAAAATTTATATCCCAAATTGTTACATTTATAGTGTCATGAAAAATATGGCCCTAATTTATCAAAAATGTATTTTAGGTCTGCTAACATATAATCTAATATTGCTGATGATGAGAGGGAGGGGGTGATGGTGAGAGGAAGGGTAATGTGTGAGGGAGGGTGTAATGGTGATGAGAGGGTGGCTGATGATGAGAGGGGGGCGATGGTGTGAGGAGGGGGGTGATGATGAGAGGGAGAGGGGTGATGGAGAGGGGGTGTGAGAGGGGGGTGGTGTGGGAGGTGTGATGGAGGGTGATGAGGGGGGGATGCTGTGATGGGAGCTGATGCTGAGAGGAGGAGCCACTGATAGGAGACGCGGAAGGTATTAAACTGATCAGAACAATACTAAACACACCACTCCTTTTTTGGTGAGGCTTTACAGGACAGAGTGCTTCTCCACGGGACATGTTAACTCACGGGCAGCTGGCTCATCAAGGAACCACAGAAGCTTTCCATGTACAGGTAAGACACGTGCAGCCGGTAAGGGTTCAGGCTCTTCTTCCTGGAGGATACGCTGCAAGCCTGTTGAACGAGGTGACCTTGCTCGGGTCCCAGGTGTACGGTTCCTAAAATGGCTGCCATATACACGCCCACTGATAGGAGACGCGGAAGGTATTAAACTGATCAGAACAATACTAAACACACCACAAATAAGGTTTTCACCTGTCACTTTTTTGTACTCTAACCATCATTTTTGAGTAATCGTCTTTTTTTCCCCCCCGACATATCAGATTTTTAAATATTTACATTTTTCAATTGTTTAATTTCTGTTCTCTGTTTTCCTATACTGACTGCCAGGTGCTAATGACAGCATTTTTAACAATGATTGACAGGGAACCAGGTGGAGGCACCAAGTTTCCAGGAGAAAGACTTGTTGCTACATTTAAATTTGTCTTTCACACATATTTGTTAAATATAGGGATAAACAAACATATTGAAAATCATGAGAAGTGACAATTCCTCTTTAAAAAATTACCATTACTTCTCTAGGTAATCACTATCCATAATTCATATTAAGCAGAATTTAACAAAAATCTACATATGACATGAGGTCATTGAGAAGAAGGACAATTTAGCTTTAAGGAGAGGAAAAGGTTCTTTACAGTAAGAACAGGAAAGATGTGGAATTTAAATATTTACATTTTTCAATTGTTTAATTTCTGTTCTCTGTTTTCCTATACTGACTGCCAGGTGCTAATGACAGCATTTTTAACAATGATTGACAGGGAACCAGGTGGAGGCACCAAGTTTCCAGGAGAAAGACTTGTTGCTACATGTAAATTTGTCTTTCACCTGGTTAAATATAGGGATAAACAAACATATTGAAAATCATGAGAAGTGACAATTCCTCTTTAAAAAATTACCATTACTTCTCTAGGTAATCACTATCCATAATTCATATTAAGCAGAATTTAACAAAAATCTACATATGACATGAGGTCATTGAGAAGAAGGACAATTTAGCTTTAAGGAGAGGAAAAGGTTCTTTACAGTAAGAACAGGAAAGATGTGGAATTTCCTGGCAAAAGTGGTGACTTTATCCGATTCTATAGTAAGATTTAAATAAGATCTGGATAGTTTTTGGAAAAAGGGAACATTCAAGAATATAATAATTAAAATGTGGGGTAACAGCTTGTTGATCCAATGTAAAGCCTGGCTGCCATTCCTGGATCAAGAAGGATTTTTTCCCCCCACATTTTCTTGCACAATTAAAAATGACTTTGCTTTGGGTCTTTCACCTTCAATTGACCTTCGCCTCAGTAAAAACAAAGATGTGTAAAAGGTCAAAATTGATGGACCGGAGTTCTCCCAAAAGCAATAAAATAGTTGCATGTGTATTCTTTAAGCTATAAATTATTCATGAAGTATTAACAAATAATTATAAACCTCACCACTTGGTTTGCAGTCAGCATTAAGGCTAATTTTGCCCTGTATATCTTTTCTCTGAACCTCCTTCTGACCTATTTCCGTTCTCCAGGATTAAATGTCTTGAAGTGGATTATTCAGCATCTTTCAGCACTGGTCTCTTATAGGGCTGCAGGAGCTTCCTCAAGGCCAAAGGCAGTTCAGGACGAGATTCTCAGAAGGCAAAGTGCACACATGCCCTTTATAGAAGCAGAACTGAATGGCATGAAGTCATAAAGAAGTCAAGTTTAACTTATGAGTGATTCCCTTCTCAACGTGTGTCAGTTTGCAGAAGACAAACAGCTGAAGGAAGTCGAACTGTTATCAATTATGTCTCATTAAACTCATCTAAGCATACGAAAAGAAAAATATTATTTCTAAGAAAAAAAATTCTTCAGACGTACTGAATGTAAAACACAATCCCCCAAAATATACCTTTTTAATAGGTTTCCTTTAAGCAGGTCGAGACAGAAGGTCCGTCCTTCTGACCTTGGTTACTTGGGAATATTTGTCATGGCCTTTCTGTTGCCCACTTATTGGATCAGTCAACGTTATAAACAATACATTTATGTTTAACATTACAGTGCTCCTGACTCTCTCTTCATTCATAAGCCTTATTTAATAGAAAGAAGAGAAAAAATAGAGAACTATAAAAATAAAAGTCATAAAACTTACCTTTATTCCAGTGCCAACACAGTCTTCTTGCATCTTAGCTACAACACAACTGTTTCTCAAAATTATGTTCATACAACATGACTTTCGTGCGACCTCAAATTGACCTAATTGATCTAACAAGTCACAGAGAAAATAGGTCCTAAAGTCACATAGCAAT